GCCCCGCCCACCTTTCTGGCGCACGGAGCAGCAGAGCAGCGCTCCCAGCAGCAGCAGCAGCAGGAACACCAGCAGCGCCAGGGCCCCGCCCACCACGGCGAACGGCCCCGCCCCCTGCGCCGCCACCACCGCCCCGGGGTCTGCGGGGGGCGGTCACTGCCCGGGGGTGCCCAGGTGCCCACAGGTGTGCCCCAGATACCCACAGGTGTGCCCCAGATACCCCCAGGTGTGCCCAGGTGTGTCCCAGGTGTGCCCAGGTGTGTCCCAGGTGTGCCCCAGGTACCCCCAGGTGTGCCCCAGGTGTGCCCCATGTACCCCCAGGTGTGCCCAGGTGTGTCCCAGGTGTACCCAGGTGTGCCCCAGGTGTGCCCAGGTGTGCCCCAGGTACCCCCACGTACCCCCAGGTGCCCCCAGGTGTGTCCCAGCCCCCCCAAATGCCCCCCCAGGTGTGCCCTACCCACCCCAGCTGTGCCCCAGGTACCCCCAGGTGCCCCCCAGGTGTGCCCTACCCACTCCAGGTGCCCTCCCAGGTGTGTCCCACCGCCCCAGGTGTGTCCCACCCCCCCCAGGTGTGTCCCACCGCCCCAGGTGCCCCCCGGCAGGTGCCCGGCACTGACCGTACACCACCAGCACGTAGGCGTCGGCGGCGCGCCCGTGGGCGTTGCCCACCTGGCAGGTGTAGGTGCCGTTGTCCTGCGGCGCCAGCGCCGGCAGCGTCAGCCGCTCGCCCTCGGCGCGCGCCCGCGGCGGCAGCGACTCGTTCCCGCGGCTCCAGGTCACCTCCGTGGGCCTGGGGGGTCACCTGGGCGTCACCAGGTGTGCCAGGCCCCGCCCAGGTGTGCCACGCCCATGCCCAGGTGTACCCCGGTGTGCCCAGATGTGTTATAACTGTCCCCAGGTGTATCCCAGGTGTGCCCAGGTGCCCCCAGGTGTATCCCAGGTGTGCTATAACTGCTCCTAGGTGTGCCCAGGTGTATCCCAGGTGTGCCCAGGTGTACCCCAGTGTGCTCAGGTGTGTTATAACTGTCCCCAGGTGTATCTCAGGTGCCCCAGGTGTGCCCAGGTGTGCTATAAACATCTCCTGGTGCCCGCGGTGTGCCCCCAGGTGTGCCCCAGGTGTCCCCCAGTGCCCCCAGGTGCGCCCAGGTGCCCCCAGGTGTCCCCCAGTGCCCCCAGGTGTGCCCAGGTGTGCTATAACTACCCCCAGGTGTGCCCCAGGTGCGCCCAAGTGTATCCCAGGTGTGCCATAACTGCCCCCAGGTGTGCCCCAGGTGTGCCCAAGTGTATCCCAGGTGCCCCCAGGTGTATCCCAGGTGTGCTATAACTGCTGCCAGGTGTGTCCAGGTGCATCCCAGCTGTGCCCAGGTGCCCCCAGGTGTGCCCAGGTGTATCCCAGGTGCCCCCAGGTGTGCCCAGTTCCCCTTAGGTGTGCTATAACTGTCCCCAGGTGCCCCCAGGTGTGCCCCAGGTGTGCCCAGGTGCCCCCAGGTGTGCCCAGGTGTATCCCAGGTGTATCCCAGGTGTGCCCCCGTGCCCCGCTCACCGCGGGTTGCCGCTGACGGCGCAGGTGAGCACCAGCGTGTCCCCCTGGCGCAGGACGCTCTGCGAGGGGTGGATGCGCGCCGAGGGCGGGTCTGGGGGAGGGGCACCGCCTGGCACCTGGGCACACCTGGGCCCAGGTGCGCCCAGTCCCCTCCCATCCCTCCCAGTATAAACCAGTAACTCCAATTCCCCTTTAACCCCTCCCAATCCCCTCCCAGTTGCTCCTAGTCCCTCCCAGTCTCTCCCAGTTACCCCAAATCCCTCCCAGTTCCATCCCAGTATAAACCACTAACTCCAATTCCCCTTTAACCCTCTCCCAGTTCCCTCCCAGTTCCCCCCCAGTCCCTCCAAGTCCCCCCCAGTATATCCCAATCTATCCCAGTCCCACATTAACCCCTCCCAGTCCCCCCCAGTCCCTCCCAGTTTACCCCAGTCCCTCCCAGTCCCTCCCAGTCCCTCCCAGTTCCCTCCCAGTCCCTCCC